TTATATAAGTTTAGTCGTTTGATCTGGGTGTGTCTTTGACAATTCTTCGGACCAATTCTTGGATTTCAATGATTTGACACGATAGTGCGGCACACTAAGGCCTAAAGTGGCTGAGCAGAAGATCGCTGAAAAATCCATCCTGAGCCAACATGGCCCAATCACAGGCGCACAGGCTGTGACAATAGCTTTTACTATGTTTGCTGTTAAGATGGCAGCGAAATGCCGTAATTCGGCGTTTATCCACAGCATCTTGATTTGTAGATTGCATGGAACAGCATGTATCGTCACGTCGATTCCAGTCGAGCACTTTGGGGAGAAAGAAGTTGGATGTCATTGAGCAGTTAGCCATGCAACTTGGGGCTTTGGCTTTGTGCTGATGGTAAGATTGTAGGCACTTTACTGTGTCATGCTTTCCCGGGCTGGACTCCTTACGCAGCTGTCTTGGAACAATTCAGTACATGCACGATGCATTAGCCTTGTTCTATGCAACTGCTGACTTGTCCAAACCTGAGAAACAGCTCGTGCAGAACCATAGAGACTTCACGGAAAGCGAGTACAGATCTGTCAAGAACTGCGCAAGCATCTTCGCACTCACCTCACTCAGGCTTCAAGAGTTTGCTGAAAAGAAGACAAGGAGAATAGAAGTGAGGCTGCGAGCGACATATTCTTACGCACTTTCTCTCGGTAGACCCGCAGTTTCTGGTTGTTAACCCATAATACACCGACACTAAGCACTTTTTGTTATCAATCTTTTTTTTTCGATTTCAGTACCTTTGGGGTTCAGAAGGTGTCACAGCGTCTCTGTGATGTTGCGCCGACGCTGTGGGTGAAGTTCTTGAAAGCGACGCGCCTCGTGACGCGCCTCAGGACGTCTGCAAAACCTTCCCTTCTGCGTGACGGTGCCAGGCTCTTTGAGATTTGATTGGCACTTCTGTTTTCATTTTTGCACGCGCGGTGGTGGTTTGACGCTTTAGATTCGGCGGTGGGCCGCAAAGCGGAGGGGGGTGCCTTGAGTTGCTTGGACGGAGACCTGTGCACCGTGCGAAGACATAAAGGTGACTCCGAGCCTCGGTCGCTCCGACGCTCTCCTTCACCACGCGGTCAAGGCACCCAGACTCGACCGCTGGCAGTCTTTCTTTTCTTCCAGACTGAAGCTGCGATGCATTTAGCACCTTTCTGAGGTGCTACAACAAAACCACCATCTTGTACGAATGCATCAGGCACAAACTGTCCTGGTCTCCCAAATCAAACCCTCTATCTAAGCTCCCTCAACCCTCCCGCCCCTTTGAACAGCATAGAGTGTGAACATTTCTGAGGAAAGCATCCAAATCGCACAGCAAAAGCACAACAAACACCAAGTTGTAAAGTTGTTAGGGAGAACCCCTTGGCCAAATGGGTGGACTGGTCTCTTGTTACTCTTCCCAGGGGGTCGAAGTGGGAGGTCTCTCTATTCAATACACCCCCCAACAAATGTTTTGTCGCTCTTCACCCTAAACCCCGACGGAAGCGCTGAACGTACCGTCGCACTACCACACGAGAGTGGGTCAAAAAGCGTGAAACGCCACGGCGCGACGGTACACCACGCTGTGCTTTTTTTTCCACAGACGTTTGCTGTTGCGTTTGTTGGAGCGCCCCTTGGCACATGTGACTTCGCGGTCACCCCAGACCCTTCCGTGCTTCAGGAAAACGGTTAGACGGTTAGACCGTTATATAGACTTTGTGGAAAAGGATCCACCCAATGAGACCAAGCGCTGCCAGGCTGTTGCTGAACCTGGACGTTTTGGCCAGGTAGAGCATGGAGCCTGAGGAGGCATGGGTTTTCTTTTGTTGGCGAGTCTTGTGTCGGGGGCAGTGCAGCTGCAGATGCGCAAGCTCTTTGAACATTTGGAAGCTGGAACCTGCTCTTCAGCGCAGCGCGTGAGGATCACTTTGAAGATGTTCAGCCGCCTGGCGAAGCTGCGGAGTCAAAACCCGCAAGACCAAAGGCGAAATCAAAGGCGAAGGCAAAGGTGAAGAGGAGGAGGAAGAAAAGAGGCGCGTGGTTGCCGATGCGTTTGAGGAGGATTGATGGGGGCCACTGTTGGGGCCAACAAAGCACAGTCAAGGTGTTGTTTGGCTGCAAGTACTCACAGTATACCATCCAGACGTGGGCCAATGCATCTGTGGGAACACCTCTCGGAAGATCTTGTCAGGTTGACGTTGAAGAGCACAGCGTCAGAGACATGATGTGAGTCAGTGAGTCCCCCAAACCCAGGGTGTTTGATGAACAAATGTCGAAGTGAGTTGTTCCACCTAGTTAGTCGATGAACATTAGCAAACCTATACCATTTTTGGGTGCGTGTGTAAATCATATGAAGTGGGAATCCTGATGACTGTGCAGCATAATGCTTGCAATGACTGACGTATCAGTCATCTCCTGGATGTAAACTTGTCGGCCCCCCAGACGCAGGCGGAGCCGAAGGCAATCCCATTGATCCAGGATGTGCCAGAGCTGAAGGACGGGGTGGTTGCTGTTTGGACATGAAGTGGCAAGAGAAGAAACCCAAGCAACAACCGAAGACACTCACTGCTTTGTTGAACGTTTTGATGCCTTTGAATATGGCTTTTGCCTTGAACTTTGTCCCAGCCGCCCCCGCCGGAGTTCCAGAAATTTCACACAGCTCGTCTTGCTGACCGCAGGCGCTGAAGTCACTGGACCCTTGGGAGGCAACCTGACTGTTTGGCACTCCATCATGCTAATGACACATACTGTATGTGGACAGATTTTAACCAGCAGACATTTCTTGCCGACTGGCGTTGATTTGGGGTCATTTACCGGAGCGGCGAGTGAAGCGTCTTTATGCGTATCGATTGTCTCAGTGCAATGCTTCCAGAAGCAGATTCAATTGGTTTTCCTGTTCGACCAGTCCTTTCCCAAGCCCAGAAGAGAGATGAAATTCATCCGAATGCCGAGCCTGAATGTGAGATCCTTCGATTCGCCAAGTGGACCTCTGGATCCTCCTGAATCACAGGCGAAGAGCCCGACCGCGATCCTAACGACCAGCCCAACGAGAGTCAAAATATGCATTGCTTGAATATTGAAGAGCCGCTCGAGTGACTGGGACGCGTGGAGCAGATTGTCCAGTCCTTTTCTTTTCTGTCGCTTGCAAGATGCACGGTGTTTATGCTGAGGAGCAGACGCTCCCTTCAGCCGGATCCTGTTCATGCACAAACGGCTGCCATAGCCCAAGTCATTGGTGACTTGGTGAAAGGGGAAGTAAAGGAACATGTTGCGTTCTTTTTCTCAAGTCTGCGGCTGCATGCTGTTTGTTTACTGGGAAAGTCACAATTGTCCATGCCACGAAGCGGCAATCTCATATCAATGCATATCACTGATCCATTCTGCCACGATCCACGGCGCAGAGGTGTTCAACATCTTCCAGCTGCAAACTCCAAGCAGTTCGGACGCACGAGACGATCCGGTTTTGTTGTTTTTTTTCCCTCCAGAACTGCATTTTTTTTGGGTTGATGTACATGACTGCCGCAGCGCTGCGCCGGGTGGCACGTCAGGACTGAACTCCTGTGCCTAGAGTCGGATGATGCAGGTGGTGAACGCACCATGACTCGTGCACCTCAGCGCTTTGTCAGAGCTTTGGTGGTGAACGACCTGGCAAAGAAAGATGCTCCTGATTTTGGACTGGTCCTATCACTGGAGGTGGCGGATCATGGAAAACATCAGCTTTGTAAACTGGTGCTCCCTGAGAAGTTCGAAGAACACGAGAAGAGTTGCACGCCACTCACCATCGTGTTGGAGAAGGATGAACGGATCCTATGCTTCCGCCTTGATGAGGCCTGGACGATCCTCTCTTTTAGGCTTAAGGTTGGTCGGTCAGTGGGTGTTGTGCTCCGTGTTTCTTGTCGGGTGTTGTTCAATGATGTTCGCGTTTGTGGGCCATCCTGCGAGGTGAAGGACAAAGAAAGTGGCTTCAGCGTGTACTTCAACCCCCAAGTCGTCATCCAGTCCCCTTGCCAAGAGCTCCAAGAGGTTCAGGAAGATCCTCAGTCACCTGCTGACAAACCTTACAGATGCTCGTGGGGTTGCCTGAGAAGATGCCAAAAACGGCAGGAACAAGTTGTTTTGCGCCTGGAGCGGCTCTCTGGACACTTCGAGTGGCCAGAGAAAGCTTTGAAGGGGCAGTGGTGTCTCGGCTGGGAACAGCGCCATCATGTGCAGGAGAACTCATTGGCTGATGTTCCGGAAGAACTGCAAACTGAGTCACAGTCGCGCCAGGCAAGTTGGAACCTTGCCTAACTGATCTGAGGCGCCAGCTGCCAGAGCTGGATGTGTCGGTGCCCCTGTGGACGTCTCCGCCAATTCGACATGCCACGACAGAGACGGTCGCCACGCTCCGCAGCATGCGTGGCCAAGAACGTGATCACCTTCTTGGTGCTGTGTTGATGTCTTCTTCGCGTTGGAGCACGCGGAACCTCACCGGGCAAACAGCAATGTTGCTGGGACATGAACTTTGTTTTTTTGGGGAAGCGGAGCTAAATACAAATCTTTCATTCTTATTGAATGAAGGCATGCCAATGTGTTTTCTGGGGCCTAGGTTTTGGTTTGAGCTGCTGGTTCTGGATTGTGCGCGGCGCCTCAGTTTTTTGGCTCGGCGGATCTGCCAATACGAAGGGATGACTTTGCTGCAAATTGGCAACCTTGAGGCCGCGTGGTATTTCGATGTCTACTCGGACATAAGCTCACTGCAACTGTTCGCCAGCACTGGCATGATGGACTACTTCGTGCTGAACTTCGCAGGAATGATGCTTGGCAGTTTCAGTTTCACTCATCGTCCCCAAACCTACAGGATGATGTATGGATGGTGGCGTTTGAACACATCCAAGGATGCTCCCTATGATAGTCAGCCTGCGAGACGCTCAGGGCAGCAATAGCAAGTTTATACATTGTCTTGTTTTTGATGGGCGTGAGACAGCGGGGAAGGCTTTAGTTTCTTTCAATGCATTCTTTGAACTTGTGCCAAGAGACCAGGACATTTGGCATTTCCATGCCACTCCCTCACCAGAGTTAGATGCACTGAAAGCTGCGGCCCGTCATGTGCACTTGAGCGGTCATTGGTTGGAGCTTGCCACTTATGGTGCTATCGCGCTCCAAATGCAGATGCTCTGGCTGACAGCTTGGTCTGCCAAGCACTGCATGAAGCATTCATTGCTTGGGGCTACCAAGCTCGCGGAGGTGGCTAGGGGAGTTCAAACATGGGCCCGTGCGTGTAGGCAAGTTAGGTGGCCGGTGTTGCTTCTGAAATGAGTCGAACCGATTTTGACTGCGATGAATCAAAGCTGGGCGCAATGCTTTTTGGATGACTGCTGAGGTGGCGGAGTCAGCGTGCTCTGCTTTAATCCAGTTCAATTATTTGCTGTGCGTGATCGTTGGTGTGAAGGAGAGTTGAGAGAGGGACAGTGTGGGGGTGAGGGACACTGTAGAATTTAATGATCGGCTTGACACACCCGGAGGAGTTCGACACGCTGCAGCTCAGCGAAGCTGATTTCATACGACTTGGAGCTTCCATCACCATGTCCTGTGGTCTCCTTGGGATGGGCTTTGCGTTCCGTGACACAGAGCCCGTTCGAGTCTTGGGGCTGCCAGGCAAGTTGAAACTTGACCGCGAACCGTTCCTGCTGGCTGCCTTAACCCTTGTCAGGGTGTTGGAAGTGACGAGCCAGGTACTGGCAATCAACTTCGTGCATGTGTCCACGCGCTTCCAGGGATTCTCTATGGGTGGCCCGGCAATGACCTTGGGCCTGGCACTGCTCGCAAAGTTCTTTCTGACGAAAGCGACCACGGAGCATGTTTTGGCCGCTATCCTGGCCCACCCAGGGCAGGTTCTGGAGCCGCGGTCACTCATGCCCTTGGGAAACACTATGAAGATGAAGGTCGCATCAGCAGCTGCTGTCATCATTGCCCAGGCGTTTGCCCGTTATTCTACCTTCAGCGAGGAAGCCAAGGCATGGAGCTGAGCTTACCTGACCAAAAGTAGTTCAGCCGAAAACGATTTGTAGTGCGACTGTTGTCGCCATTTCTTTGCAATCAGTCCATGGTTGGAATTTTTAGCAGGTTCTTCTTTGATCAATCTGATTATATTCTCTCGCCCCAACCCCACGCCAAGACTTCGATCGTTTTGTCAGGCCATACCCGATTGGCTCCTCGCCATGTGGTTCGCATTGACAGTACTGAGCTGGATGGGATTGGGAGGGATGGCACTCTTTGGCAAGAAGGCCCATGGTTCCATGTTGTGCCAGATATGGGAAGCTTTCGAGAAAGAAATGCAGTGTGGTGCGTCTGCGTCGTTTTCTATTCGAATTTCCTTCTTGTTACCCCCTGGGAATGCTTTTGCATGTTTTCGCTGTGTTGCAGGTGAAGAACAAGACCTTTCAGCGTCTTGCAGGTGGACGATGTTTCCCGTTGTCTGCACGTGAGCAACCGCGAAAACACTGTTTGAAAAACATAACAAAAGACCCGCCCTTAATCTCAAAATTCTAGGGAAGCCATGGGGATCTGAATGTATGTGGTGCCATGAGAGACAAAGGTTTTTGTAACAGCCAAACATGTCCAAAAGCCTGCAGATGATGTCGGCGTCATCACCTACAGAGCAGTCAAAGCCGCCTTCGACTGTGCCAAAGAGGCTCCGCAAAGCCAGATACGCTTTTGCAATGTTTGGTTGGATAACCCTGGGCAGGTGCCTGACACAATCCTCATGGCTCTCACAGAAGACTACACATTGCTGTGGGACAAGTCTGCACTGGAGGAGCTGAGAGCCGTCTCAGCCTCCATGGACAGGTGGACCGTTTGGTCCAATCCGAGGCTGAAGCTTTGCCAATCTTTCATTGAAGAACTTGGGCACAAGGGCATCGTAGAGGGCTTTTCTATTTTGGCACTCCACAACCCTGAGGAGCCGCGCAATCCTGTTTCCAACACTTTGACAGTTAAAATTGTCTTTGCAATTTTATCGCCAGGAGCTTCTTCTGCCAGGTTGCTATGAGATTCCCAGCGATGCATGGGGAGCACTACAAAGAGCACAGTGGTCCAAGCTGAAGAAGGTGAATTTGCACGAGTGCCCCGTCCAGTAGAGTGGATGTTTGTTGATCACTGCCTCTTGGGCGGAAGGGCAGAGGACTTCGACTAGGAGACTCTTTGACGTTTTAGAGCTGTGGAAGTGATTGGCAACCCATTCTCGCATGGCAACTTCATTTTGGGGCTCTTGCTTCTAAACTCGCAAGAACTGCTGAGGGTTGTGAGATGTTCTGAGGTTTCGACTGCCTTTGCCCTTCTTTATGTCCCAGCATGTCCATGTTCTTGAGGTGCTTCAGCCGCGACACGGAAGGCGCAGAAGGAGCCAAAGACCTTTTGATGGCCTTGGCTTCGAGCAAAGAGCTGGAGGAGCCCTTTGCCACCTTTGCCCATTGTGCAAGCATGTCCAAGCCCAGTTGCTCTTTTGCATTTGTAGGAGCTTCTTCTGCAAAGTTGCTATGAGATTCCCAGTGATGCATGGGCAGCGCTACAACGAGCACAGTGGCCCAAGCTGAAGAAGGTGAATTTGCAAGAGTGCCCCGTCCAGTAGAGTGGATGTTTGTTGATCAGTACGTCTCAGGCGGAAGGGCAGAGGACTTCGACTAGGAGACTCTTTGACGTTTTAGAGCTGTGGAAGTGATTGGCAACCCATTCTCGCATGGCAACTTCATTTTGGGGCTCTTGCTTCTAAACTCGCAAGAACTGCTGAGGGTTGTGAGATGTTCTGAGGTTTCGACTGCCTTTGTCCCTCTTTATGTCCAAGCATGTCCATGTTCTTGAGGTGCTTCA